AATATTATAACAGTAATAACAACCAGCTATTACTTAAGCACATATCCATATCCTTTTTTAAATGCATTATAACAAATAATGCATAATTAAGCCTAATTAAGAAGATATCAAAATGTCATAACGGTACACAAACAAAGAATCCTATTAGATAAAAATGCATATTTTTAAAAATTTACCAACTCATCATGGATGATGTAAAATAATGTTTTAAGACTTTTATTGTATTAGACTATTTTTAGATGTCAAAATAAATTTTGGGTAGAAAAAATCGTTATATTTTCAAAATCACACAACAAAAAATTGCAAAAAAATACTCAAAATATTCATAATATGAATCTCTATAACATATAAAAAGTTATACAGTGGAAATTCTGCAAATACAAAGTTATTCACATTTTTTAGTAATGAAAAAAAAATTGATCAGAAAAAATTCCAAGAATTAAAATTTTTGAAATCAGAAATAAGCTAAAAGTTCATTATAACGAGATGAGCAAATATCTCAACTGCATCGACGGACGAAAATTGCACCACAACCTCCAAATCTTAGTTTTTTTTCTTTCTTTCTCCTCACATTCTCTCTCAAATTCGCCTAAACTATCTATGTTACCCAAAATCTAAGGGAAAAATGGGATTTAATAAAGTCACATAAGTGACTTTAGATATTTTATTAAAATGATATTTTTTTAATTATATAAGGTCATGATACAATTGGAGTCACAATGGACTTAACATGACAGCTCAAATTCTACCGATCAAATATAAATACGTACTCTGAAAAAAAAATAGCAAGGATCTATATAGATAATATCATTCGACTGCATAAGATTCCCCTCGTCATTGTGTGAGGTAGAGATGGAATATTTGCTTTAAATGTTGTGGTAAAAAGTGCAAAAAGGTTTGGGTACTAGGTTAGACTTCAACACTGCATTTCACCCACAGATAGACGATCATTTAGAGTGCACCATTCAAATATTAGAAGATTTGCTGAGATCTTATATCCTTAACTTTGGACGAAACTGGGAAGAATACATTCCACTTGTAGAGTATGCTTATATTAGTAGTTTTCAAGCTAGCATCAATATGACATTATATGAAGCTCTTTATGGTAGGAAATACATACCTTCTTTATGCTGGTGTTAGGTAGGTGAGAGAAAGTTCTTAGGATCTCAACTAGTTGATCAAGTTACTAAAAGATCCATTATATTCATGAAAGGCTTTGTTTAGTACAGGAGAGTCCAAAAGCATAGAAAGATTGAATTTGAGATTAGAGATCACATCTTTCTCTTGGGTTAGCTCATGCATGGAGTTATCATATTTGAAAAAAGTGGGAAGCTTCATACCCATTTTATCATACCTTTTGAAGTGAATGAGTGAGTCAGTAGAGATTCAAATATATTGGATCTTCCTCTAAGACTTACAGAAGTACATAATGTCTTTCATGCCTTTCTTCTGTAGTGATATGTGTAGAACCAGTCAGAACGAGAAGCGACTGGGGATGTTGAAAAAGAGATGATCGCGAAGTACCCATAGCTGTTCTAAAATTAAGGTATGAATTTGGGGACCAAATTATTTTAAGGGGGATATTATGTAACAATCGAACCTTGACCGATATGTCCAAGTGTTTTAAGCGAACAAACTGAGCTATAAGAACAAGCATCTTCTTTGGAAAATTAATTAATTATATAATAACAAGTGTCTTTAGGGTTCTAAATTAAATTTTTGGAATGACTTAGAAGAATTAATACAAAATATACCTCTTGAAGAAAGAGTTTTTATTGGAGGAGATTTAAATGGACATATTGGTAGAGAGATAGATGATTTTAAAAGTATTCATGGTGGCCATGGATTTGGAACGACAAATGAAGGTGGCAAGACCATATTGGATTTTTGTTTAGCTTATAATTTTTCAATTGCTAATACCTTATTTAAGAAAAGGAATGAGCATCTCATCACTTATAAAAATGGAAATAGTACAACCCAGATTGACTATTTTCTTATTAAAAAAATTAAATCGTTTAGATTGCAAATATTATAAAGTTATTCCGAGTAAAAGATTATGTACCCAACATCGATTATGAGTTTTGGATTTTAAGATAAAGGGGCATAAAATAAAAAATAAAGTAAAACAATTTTCTAGGATTAGATAGGGGCATTTAAAGAATATTAACATAAAATTTTTGGAAATAAGATTTTAGATCTTAAGATTTTTTCTGTGCATGAGAATGCTAATATTATGTGGAAAAAAGTGGCTAGTGATATTAAGAATATTGCAAAAGATATTCTTGGAGTATCAAAGGGAAAAGCTCCTAATAGTAAAAATAGTTGGTGGTGGAATCCTAATGTGCAAGAAAAGATTAAAAATAAGAAGGTTTGTTATAAAAATTAGTTTAATTTTAAAAATTCTGATAATTGGAAAATATATAAAGTGGCTCGTAAGGATGCTAAGAAAGCAAATACTTGAGGTTTCATCAATATTTTTGTTTCTCTTGTTGTGTTATTTGGGATCATATCGGTTTGTTTTGTCTATAAGTGATATTCACATATGTTTATGTGCTCTCATAAAATTTATCAGTGCTGTTTTTTTTTCCGCACTTATTTCTCGCACTTTTTTGCATCACCCATCACTGAAATATTTTTTCTCTCTGTTCAGGCAAGTCATTTTGCTTATTTCTTTACACTTCTGCAGCTTGCTTTCCTTATATATTAAGTATTTTTGCTTCTGTATTTTTATGTTATGCACTTGAAAGCTTACATGGGACAAACAAATCAGTTTGCTCTATTTTGCAGGTTGACATATATGAATCTCGACAGTTTATTGGAGGCAAAGTGGGATCTTTTGTTGATAAACATGGAAACCATATTGAAATGGGACTGCATGTGTTTTTTGGTTGCTACAGCAATCTTTTCCGTCTAATGAAAAAGGTTTGTCTTATCAGGGAATTTGACTTGTATCTAACAGGCCAACCGGAATACCACTGAGTATATTATACTTTTAATAAACCGTTTTGCATTTCCTGATGTGAAATCGAACTTAGTTCTGGATATGCTTGCTAACAGATAAAAGAGTTGGGATATAAAAACTCAGTAATCAAGTCTTGGAATTGTTGCATTACTTCTTTTATTGCTGATGGTTTTACTATTACTTCAAAATATTGTCTTTTATTTTATCATTTTATGCAGTTTAGTATCTTACTGGTTTCTCTCAGTGATTATTCGAGTACTTTCTCATACTTAGAATATGGTTTTAGAGGCTTCTCATTCGTGCTACAATGCTATTTCGTCAGTAGGTTGAAATCACTTAAATACATTTTCCATGACTCAAGGAACATTTTTTCTACTGAGTTTATGGATTATTGCACTTTGATGATGATTGTTTTCCTGTGCTCCTTTAGTCCTGTTTCAATTGCTTGTTTCTCATGAACGCCTTACTTTTTGATCTTTTTGTTCTGTAGATCCACAGTTGCCTAACTAAGACCTATAGTACACTTTCACATTTTTTTCTTGCTGCCTGTTCCCATTAAATAGATGATTTATTATTACCGTTTCAGATGGCTTAGTTTGGGATGAATTATCTTCTTCTCGGTGTTGCTACCAAAGTTTGGTCACATAAAACGGCGGCCTTCCGATGACCCGGTTAGGAGAGTAGAGGTATTATATTTGACTTATGTTAAGAAAGGTAGGGGTAGACCTAAAAGTCTTGGTTATAAAATATTAGGAATGACCTTTCTTTATTAGATTTAAACGAGAATTTGACTTTTAATCGGACACAATGAAGAAAAAAGATTAATGTAGCCGACCCCACATAGTGGGATAAAGGCTTGATGTTGTTGTTGTTGTAATAACAAGCGTCTCTTTGTCAAATTTGATTATTTGGCAATAACAACAAGCGTCAAATTAAAGCAACATGTATGGATCGATCCAAATGTTTCACGCAAACCTAAACCATCACCACAGGGAGCCGAGTTATCAATAATAGAATATATTTTATATTTTATATTTTGCAGTGGATTATTATCTATTTGTTTTGAAGGTTGAGTGGTTTCTTTCCTATCATTTTTTTTCTTTGATATTTCTTTTAATTGTAGTAGCCCTTTTTTATTGGTATATTATTTATGAATTTTTAACAATGAAATGAAAGTTCAGTTCTATTTTTTTTTTGTAATTTTATTATTAGTTTATGCATTTTTTTCTTCTTATAAGTATAAAACATGTCATTTTATCCCTTCATCGTGGGTATACTGTCTTTCAGACATGGGATGCGATAGCATGTGAGGGTGTTTTTGCTTGCAATTAGAGGCATTGTTCAATTCAATCAGAGCTTTAAGCCTACTTCAATGTATTACAATCTAACTATTTTCATTGTAATTCATTGGCCATACCCATCTACTTGTGTAGCAAGATCTATTTAAGGATGATATTGGATGCCAATTTGACGATGGGAGGGGTTGTGGTGATGACGAGCAAAAGAGATTGCATGTGACATGTGTAAGTTTGCATGGTGCAAACTTTATATTTTTGTCCATTTTGTAGTCAATTAAATTTGAGTTAGATTTTGAATTTTATTGAAATTATGTAACATGTTAAAATTGGTGCATGAAATTCTATGCATGATAAGATCATTTTCAAGGACCACACCAAAACATATAAAAAAGATATATAAGCATTACTAAAGTTTTAATAGCATAGTTTTCCACCTCAAATAAACCCACAATAAGAAATGATCATTCTTAATTTTATTTTAATGGACTAATCATCATTCTTAATCTATTTTAATGGATTTTTAAAATAAAGTTTAGGCAATCTTTTTTTTTTTTCAAATGAATTTATTTGTGAGTTTCCCCCAATTCACTTTTTAGAATTATAAAATTTGAGAAGTAAATTTTCAATTCAGTAATAATTTTTTTAAGAAAGGAGCTGAGTATTATAAATTTTGTTTATTCAAGTGAATTTGAATATTAGATTAAATATGTTCAAAGTTATTAAAAAGAAGTTCATTTACAGTCCTACACGCGTCGGGTGTGATCAGATATTTAGCAGAGTCTCAAAGAGGAAGCTTCCGAGAAGTTGTGAGATTCGGAGCAGACAAGTCACAAAAGTTCATAAGCTCAGGCGGTCCACGCGCGTCAGAGAAGAGCCCAAAAGCTTCCGTTCTCTTCCAATTAGCCAAGTAATCAACGCAGCGAAACTTGGAGATTACCGGCTTATCGACCCAGGCTGCATGTTGCTTCCTCTCAAGTTCTGCCTTTCGCTTCTCCTCCAGGGCAGCAGTAGTCGGTGGTTTAAGGGAGCGTGGCGCGGTCTTTCAATCTTTTGGCCTTTGTTGCTTACTTTTGATAGGATTTGGGACTTCGGATGATCGGGAGATGGAAAGAGAGTATTCCAGTTCCAGCGCCGACCGGTCCTCCTCTTCGACTTCCCAACCTACAAAGAGAAGATCCGACCTGCTTAACATCTTTATGGTATTCAACTTTTTCATCACTGGATTCTTTTTTCTCCGTGTTCTCCTATGTGCTACTTATATTAACATATTGAATGTGATGGTTGATATGTCAAAAAAAAAAAAAAATTCATCCGATAAAGCATGAATTTTTATGCAAATTTTAGATATCAAAATACTATAATATAATTAAACGGCTGTATCCACAAAGCTCAGACAAATTCTAGATGAAACCTGCAATTATCTAGCAGAAATATTACATTCATATATGACTGCGATAAAAAAATATAAGCAGTTATAAATATGCTAAAAGCTAAAGTGACAACGTCACAGCAGTGGCAAAAGAAGAACAAAAAGTGACGATGCTATATACTAACATCAAACTATGAAGTGATACTTTAAGAACTTAAGTATAAAATACTCAATCACTCTCATATAGATCTCCACTTGACAAGAACCAACATGTCAATCATATTGACAACTACAAGTGTATCTAAAGATTTATGAAGACATAGAGATAGACTCTTGGAGATTTATAAAATGGAGATCTTAGCGTGACATCCAAACAAGCTTTTGGATATTTGATAAATGAAAACCTATGTATGTCATCCAGAGTAAATATCTAAATTTTCATAGGGTCGATCAACAATCATCATACAACAAACATGATTCGTTCTAAATGCATATCACATTTGTTGGGGGACATTTGTTGACATCTATTATAAATAAAAAGAAAAAAAAGAGAAAATAAAAAATACATACCTCAGCCTTTGCCATACATGTACGCAAATCTCGTAGAATATCTCATCATTTGCTACAGTCGTGTCCCAAATATGCAAAAAGCGCCGCTATCAGCAAGCCCATACCTCACGTGCGTAATTTATCGCCCTGTTCGCGTCGTTAAAACAAAAGAGAAATGCAAGAACAAGCTCTTCTTCGTTTTCTTTCCCTCGGCTCTTCCCTCTCTCTTTCAAGAACTCCCGCAAATCTTTCGGCGCCGAACTTCCATCGCTGCTTCCGATTCCCCATAGTCGTCGCCTCTTCCCCTCCTAATCCTTCTTCAAATCTCGCTACTGAAAGGTTGGGATACGAAGTGGGTTGAGCGATCATAGCTCGAGGTCCATTGGGTATTGTTGGTGCGTACTTGAAATTGCAATGATGGCAACAATTTATAGCGATGTGTCCAACTTTGCCACAAAATTGGCAATTTGGACGTGAGCTGTTGTTAATAACAGAACCAGGAGTAGGTTGGGGTGAGACAGCCGGCTTGGAAGTGAAGTTTGAATTCTTGGAAAATCGTTTCTGATTGCGACCGCGATTCTGATTGTGTGAAGTTGCATGAAGTGCGGTGACAGCAGATCCGGTGTTGGAGTCTTTAAGAATTTCTTGATTGACATGTATCTCCTCGCTGCAAAGAAGGGAATGCAGGTTATCAAGATCGGCGGGAAGAGAAGAAGTTTGTATGGCCGTTTTGAATGAATTGTAAGTTGACAGAAGCCCGTTTAAGATGTAAAGAACGATGTCTTCCGGATCAACTTTTGAGCTGGAGGCAGCGATGTTGTTGACGATGTGTTTGATTTGGGAGAGATATTGTTGCATGATCAGATATTTCATTTGGATGTGGTGGAGCTCGTTCTTGAGCTGAATGACGCGAGAACGACTCGTTGGCTGAATACGTCGTGCAAGAGTCGTCCAAACTTCTTGGGCGGTGGTGGAGTTGATTGTGTAGGGAAGAATTGACAGAGAAATGGTGGAGAACAATGCATAAATTAAGTTGTTGTCTGCAAAGTACCACTGATTGTAATCTGGAGAAGCTTCGTCGGCCGGTGGAGAGGATTTTCCCGTAAGATGACAGGCATACTCGTTAGCCGTGAAATGCTGTAGGATTTGGATTCGCCAAACTGCATAGTTGTCGACGATGAGGGGATGTGGAAGCAGATTCTTGATGTTGGAGATAAGAAATTTAAGAGCTTCCGGAATGGAGATATCGGAGGAGGAGAGACTGGCAAGATTAGAGGAAGAGGGAGGGAGGGAGGTTGCAGAATCTTGATCCCCCATTGTTGGCTCTTGATACCATGAAAGGTTGGCCAAGAGAGAGGGCCACGGTGAGCAAAACAGAGAACAGAGGAGAAATAAAGAATTAGATTGATTTGCAAGAGAGGTTACAGTAGTCTATATATAGGCTAAAACATGTATTAATGTAAATACACTTAGGAATAGAATAGCTAATATAATATACAGGCTAACAGCTACCACTGAACCCACAACCTCAAAATCGAAGCTTCGATTCCTCTCTGCTTCTTCTGAACAAATCCTCCGACCTCTTCACCGCAACAAGCTGATCTCCCTTCACATCCCTAAACCCGACGCCCCAACTAGGGCTGCAAACGAACAGAGCCGAGCCGAGTATGTGAGTGTTCATGTTTGTGTTCATTTAATATTAGGTTGTTCAAGTTTGATTCATGTTTGTTCGAGCTTTACTGTTTGTGTTCATGTTTGGTTCATTTAAATTAATGAGTGTTCATGTTCGGTTCATGTTCAGTTCATGTTCGTTCGTTTAGTGCTTATCGAGCTTTAAACAAACAAACATGAACGAGCTAGAAATGAGCTCTACTTTTAGATGTTCATTAACTTAACAAACGAGCTTTATCGAGCTTCCTAACAAACGATTACATCAAGCATGTTCGCGATCAAATCTAACGAATTTTTTTAACTACCAAACAAACACGTTCATGAATATATCTATGAACAAATATATTTATAATAAAAACAAATGTCTATGTAACAAAGGCAATGATTTATAAGCAAATTCTATCTTCACAGAATTTTCTTAACAGCAGCATTAATAAAGGCAATGATTTATAAATAAATAGCCATATAAATCTACAATTACTTAGGCAACAAGTTAAGTAATATTTGATACCTGCAACAATCACTGATCCAGTAACAGCTAGTGGTCACAAAAGGATTGCAAGGCTAGCAAAGGGAACACAAACAGTCTCCAGGAATGGCCCTTCACATATGCCACTAAGCTAAATAATTGTGATGGGTAAGGTAAGTCCCCACCACCTTCCGGGAGAGCTGGGACAACGATTGAAGTGGAGGTAAGGTAAAGGAATAAGGAAAAAGGATCGTCAGAATCCTCGTCGTCGGGTTCGATGAGGTTGTCAGAGGTATCCCAAAGGGGTTCATCGGAGGTGTAGGCCATATAGGCATGTTGAGTGAGCTCATCATCAAGGGAATCAGGTTGAGATGGTTCCGTAAGTGGTTGGGAAGGGGTATAAGAAGAGAAGGATAGGCTAAGAGATCCATCGAGGCGTTGATGTGTGATGAGAGAGCGAGGAATTTGAACAGTGGTACGCTCAGAGTGACGTAAATGTCAGGTACGCCCTTGGAGATCCGCAATGGTATGGCGTTGGCCTGAAATAGCCGATATTCCATGCAAGGCCAGGTAATTTGCAACGCCAGCAATATTATAACGAAATCCAGCGCGGCTGTTGTTCGTTAATCGAGCTACTAGGGCTCGGGTAAGTAGTAAATTTGACTCGCCTCCTTGCCAGAGTTCATAGCCATGGGTAAGGATTACAAGTTCTATATGATTCATAAAATCATGAATGGAAAGCATTAAATCAGGAGCAATATATACCAGTTGTGTACCGGATGAAAGGTCTATTTCCATGGTGCCAATAATGGAGACATCTGACCGCCATCGCGTATCACGTAATACGATAAGGGTAGTGGTACCATCATCTCTTCGATGAAGAGCTTGAATTCAAACCATAATTAATCTAAGGTGGATATGATGCATACCCAGTTGAACTAGTCATTGGTACGACTGAGTTCTGATGAAGGGAAGGTTGACTTGCATCCCTTCGGTGGCGAGTACACGTTCTTCCGAGTAATGTTGATATACTCAGTGCCTTGTCGCAGACCACCAATCTTCATACAAAGTTTCTGCAGGAACAAGATTTGCCCTTTTTCTTTGAGAGATCTGAAGTTCAGCTTCAGGATCAAGCTGACTTTCTATATTCCTTTGGAGAGAATTTCTTCGAGGGAACCGTCGTTGAAGTTCATGGGCAATTCGAGATAGAAGCCTATAGCCTCGGATCTGGTCATCTACAGAATGACTAGTGGATGGTTCGGATGGAGCTAATGTAGGAGTTGGAAGTAGACTGGTGGTTGTGGTACAATTAGAGGAGGTGGATGCCATCTAGGTTCCTTTAAGTTTTTCTAACTGGAAGATTTTCTTAGGATCTTTAAAAACAAACAAAGGACCTTTAGGTTTTATGATTTTGGTGGTACTTACAGGCTCACCAAGGGATAAGCTTTCTAACTTATTTTGAAGAGCAGATAGTGAGGATTCAAACGTTTCATCAGATGGTAAAGCTGAAGATTTTTCATGGATATGTTGAACCTTTTGGCCTTAATAACAGAACATTATATAAGAAATAATTGTCATATCAAATAAAACATTTTTGGAAGTATCACTTAAGAAAAGTTAACATTTGACAAATTCAGGTATTGAAAAACACAGACTTTGTAAAATACGTTTAAAGCATAAGACATTGGTATCATTCACTTAAATTTAATAAAAGTACTTAACTTCTAATATAATATTATTTACTTTAAATTTTATTATTTAATAATAATTATATTATTATATTATAATAAATATAAAATATTTATATTATTTATATTTATTAATTCTATAATCAAATATTAATTATTTTTATCAAGCTTATTCACGAGTTCAAAATCGAACATGAATCGAGCTTCTTGTCGAGTTTGTTCACGAGCTACAAATGATGTTGTTTGCGAACATAAATCGACGAAAGTTTGCTTGCTCTGAAGGTAACTTTCTTTCTTACACGGGCTTCTTTGGCTGAGTCCCGTAAATCAAAGAGGGAAATAGAGGATTTAGTTCTTTTTGAGATTTAACTCTTCCCTAAGTCCTGTTATTAGGATTCAATGTAAATCCTACTCAAATGTTGCATTAATCCTGTTAAATCCTTATCAAGTTCT